ATACAAACCACCCAACCGGTCCCACATACAACTGCATCCTGCCCTAATGTAACCCATCTCCTTTACCTAGACTAGTAGTTACCACATCATTGACTCATACACACATACCACCTATATCAAGAGTAGATAATAGGGAACGATTTCGCACGATGCTAGGCGAATGTACTGTGTACGATTTGAGCTCAAGTTGGATGAGTTACGCGTAGTAAATCGTAGGTATTCTAAGGCTAGTAAATGACGAATTTCCCTTGTTTATTGAAGTCACACTCCTTCCCTATTATCTACTCCTGATACAGTGATATACACGTATGTCATATTGACTTTGTTTACGATTATTAAGTTTTGAGTGCGAAGTGCGGATGGTCAATTACAGTGGAAGAAATATGACTGAATTACATTCATATCATAACAAAGGTGTTTGTGTGTGTGTGTGTGAGTGCGTGCGTGCGTGCGTGTGTATATAATATATATATTTATATATTTTATATAAAGTTTGTGTTTCTTGTTCTCTAAAATACAGAATATATCACGCGGATCAAATAATCATTCGTTAAGTCGAACACCGAGTGGCTTCAAGGGTCGGTCCTTCCTGACTGCCCCGTCGCCCACTGTCAACACGAGGGAGGCTCTAGGCGTTGTTAGAGGCATGTTCAACACTTCTCTCGGGAAGGATTACAGTATGGATGACTTGGACATGTCTACTAAAGCGGATGATGATCAGCAATGGGAGGCACAGTTCATGAAGAAAGGTGTGTACACATCCCCAATAAGAAACTGCTTTTTCGCATCTGTACCTCTGTAAAGTGCATCCGTAGTAAAAATTATGTATGAATAGGCAGGGGTAATTGTAACGATAAAATTACAGACGTGTCCACATTGAGTTGCTGACGAAAATATTGCTGTGTGTTGTAAAATGTGCTGAATATGTAACGTGTGCGTATTTTGGTACTGAGTCGGTACTCTAGTGATACGATAGCCTATCATTCTCTGCAAGCTAGGGTTTCAGTTTAACTTCCATGTTCAGCTCGGCATCATGAATTAATAATACAGGAGACTACTGTTTACCATAAATGTGTTTAACTTGATTTTTAAGATGGCTGCTTCTAGTATTCTTTGATACCCTTTGCAGATACTACTGGTGAAGCCAATCAGCTCCAGCAAGCACTTGTGCTTCCTGGCAGTGCACCATTCACTATCTTCAATGATGACCAGAATGGCAATGATGACCAAGAGAACAGGTGTGCTTTACTAGCATTCCTGTTATTAACTATAATAACTACGTTATGTTCGCATGCTGATAAAAATGATGAAATTGTTTAGGCTGTGAAGTATGTGCTTAAATTGTTTAGACGTGTGTGTATATTAAGCACTGCGCAAACACCTATTGGTCGTAACAATTACTGTTTCCCATGTCTTAGGGAGGATAGAATCTGCATCATTTCATTTGGTGTATAAGGTTGTAAACTAAAATGTCTTTTTCAGGCCACCATCGGATTATAAACAACAGAAGTCCACTCGACCCTTGGCTGGTATTTTGCAGCCATCACTGAACATTTCCTTTCTTCCCATAGAGGAACAGGTACTATTTATAGCTCCATTGTTTAGATCAATGTCTTTGACTTTGGTTGTGCTTAAAAAAAATATTGCGATTTAGATATAAATAATTCCATTTCTAATATCAGTTTGCAAAATCTGCATGTATAATATATGTATAGTATAAGTAATATTATCTTCTATGTTTATGTGATATACCTAACTTAATCATTTAAATCTCAAGGAGGAAGAAGATGTTGAGATGGAGGGCGTGGAAGCACTGCCAGCTGACGACGATGGTAATATTGACCAGACTTTCGACCCAAAGTTCTCATCCACCAAGCGTTTCAGCATTCATCCTGACCAGCTTGCCATTAGTGGGCTCACGCTGAGTCACACTGTAGCATCTGGTAATATATTAAATGTGTTCTGCTAGGTTAGTTGCATGTTAATATATGCCTGTATGATTTTCATTGCATGATATCAGCTTAGTTATACGTAATGCTTTATGGAATCTTAAAGGAATTCTTTCTCAAATACTTGCAAATTCTAAAATATTTACTTAAATATATTCTCGCCTACTACGTACTACGTACTAAGTCGGTATGCTACGTATTGCACCAATTGAAAAATTACCAAAGATTTTGTGGATCTTGATTTTTAAATGGTGCCAATGACACAAGTGCATCTAATTCTAACGTGCATTGGTCTGTACTAGTAGACCCTTCTTTATTATTTTAATAAAGTTACTATTAACAAAGTGTGGAGACTACGAACTAGGTGTCAGTGTATAAGCTTTTCACATGACGTCAACAAGGGACTAAACTGCTGAAGTTAACTCGAAATTTCAATAATTGCATATATTGGTGAAAGTAACATTGTATTAGTGTTCTACTGCTAAGACATGTTTTAAAAGCTGTAGATGCTTGTGAAAATAATACTTGGAAGTATCAGAACAGTCACGAAAATAATCTAAATACTGACTACGATAATCGTTTTTGACCCAGAATATTTGTAGGTCGTTTGCATTTGTGCTGGGGACAGTTTATCCCTAGTGCATTTTTTTTCTTAATGGTAGGTACTTGAGTAATCTGTTGCCTAGTTATGTGTGAAACAATTTCTTTGTAGAGCCAGCTGAGGATGAATATATGCCTCCACCAAGGGCACCACTGGCGCAAGAACAGCAAGTACGTCCCGATCATAGGCCTGCAATGCGCATCAGTGTCGAGAACAAATCCGCTAGAGACTCTACATGTTCCTCATATGCAGAGAGCATGGTCCATCAAGGACCCACTGATCTGAGGTAAATGTGAATGGTTCCAAGTTATATTTTACAAGCCTGTTGAGGTAATTACCTGTGGTGTGTGACTGCATGTTGTGTGGGATTGGTGACAACCACATAGCTTTAATTTTATGTTGAAGTTAACACGAGTAACTGACTTGTCTTCTCTCATCAATTTCTCTCATTCACGTGTGCGCGCAAATGCATTTCTGGGCCTTCAGTCTTCTATCTAACAGTGATTTCTCTTCGTGTTTCAGCCCAATCATAGAGACGAGCATGGAGAATGCAAAGTCATCGAGTAGTAGCAGTGGCTGCAGTGATGTGGGCTACGGAGGCTTTAGCCGTCTCCGGCATCTTGCACGAGGAAGCACCATTGACTATCACCACTCGTATTCCCACCAGTCTGCAGCCACTCCCGGCAGTAATGCCCAGCCACAAGCCCGCACTGATAGTCACCCCAACACTACCACCACTCCCTACTGTGATGCCCCACAGCAGGCCAACTATAGTCATCAGAATACTACAACGACCCCTTACGGCATTGCCTGGAAGCAGGTGCATCCTAGCTCATCCTGTACAGTAGCTGGCAGTAAGAGTAGTGCTGCAATATCCTACCCCACGAGACAGTCACGCATTCCACGAAAGGTTGAGGCACACGACTCGGGCGCTGCCACGTGTCAGCAGCCTATGGCTGACGATGCGGACACGGCAAGGCCGACATGTCCTGTAGTGGCTGGGGCTAGTGACTCGACGAGCAGCTCTGAGAAGCAGTGTTCCCCAAGGTGAGTAAAAAATAACTTGTCATGTATATTACACACGCTTGTTTGGTGTGATGTTGAATGGTGCATGACTTTGTTTTTAGCTCATCTGACATAATCAGATGCAGCTTGTAGAATCGCATGAGCGTGCGTGCGTGCGTGCGTGCCATCAACAGTTGGCACAAATCTAAACGGCTCGACGTACGGTCACGATATTTGGACGTGGGGGGTAATCCGAAAACGAGTTGGGATGTCGAAGCTGGGGGTCAAGGTCAAGAGTGTAAAAGAAGGGGGAACATTCCCTCCTTAACTTAAAGGCATAATAGGCCCATCGATTATGCAATTTTAACGAATGCTAGAGTAACTGGCACCTTGTGTAGTTAATAAGTACATTACCTTATAGCCAAACGCGTATTAGTTTGTCCAATATCCAAGGCTCGACACTAGCGGTGGCCCGGTGCCCGGGGCCCCAAAACCTGATGTCGGGCCACCAAAAATTTCCAAAAGTTTAAAATTTGGTGGCCCGGAACGGGCCACTAAAAATTTCAAAGTGACTATGTGATAAAAATAATGTTTCTTACGTGCTAATCTCATTCAAAAGAGAGTGAGCAATTCTCGAGCGAGGGCACCGTACGCACGTGCAGCATTCTACCGTGGGCATACACGGCGAACGGTTTATCCGTCTATTGCGGCTGCAACAAGCCACGTTATTGTATTAGACTGGTATCCGGCCTCACGCTCTGCTAGACAATGTACACGCTCTGGACGAACAGTTCGGCCGCGAACCAGTCTAGCCAGAGGGTCAAAATCTGAGGCGGCGCAGGCCATAGCATATTTGCAAGCGCCACCATACATGTGATTACATTGTATCAAGCGAACCAGACAATGCGGCGGTTCTGGTGAAAATTTGATGCGCGTGGAATGGATAATTCTAATGTATGCCTCAATCATCAATGTCAGTGTGTGGGGTTTGTTTAAAGACTTGTGCAAGTGCATCAGACGGCCCAATTTTTAAATAATATACAATACGAGATTGGAAACAAAGAATTTATAATGTTTTTCTTTGTTTTTTTTCGGGCCAACCAGATTTTTTTCGGCCACCAAAAATTGAAAATCAATGATTTTGGTGGCCGCGTGGGCCACTGGAAAAAAAGTTAGTGTCGAGCCTTGCAATATCACTGCTGGTTACTAAAGAAATGTCTAATTGAAATCCGCAGTCCACGAAATCAGTTGACTGACTTGTTACCAGTTTCGAAACCGCATACTTCGAAACGGGTGTGAATACAGATTTATAGTCCACCGGACATTTCGCACAGACCACTGCAAAAACGCACGCACGCATGCATTTTCGCTCGCCGTACGCAATGCTAGCGATAGTAGAGTACCGTAACTGTATACGTAACCTAGCTCTGTTTGTAATGAACGTGGAATCCACGTACGAATCACGAGACGCTCGTGATAATGAAGCAGGCTGTGTTGGGGGCCAACGCTATGGAGGATCGCGGACTAACCACGGCCCCAGACTAAACATGGAAAAGCAGACGCCACTACGCGTATTTACGTATATTGGTCAAACGAATACACCTGTGTCTGAAATTGAAGACATGTGGGTACCCGTTCATTAGCACCCACGGTTATTTACTTGTGCCTCAAATACCGAGAATTACACCCAGAGATACATATCTACTAGCTCATTAGTTCGTATATAAGCATCCCGGGACAAACAATTCCCTGCTAACACCCGTAGCAAAACATGTGACGTTGCCTAACCGAATTCGAGGCTATTTGCTGCTTGGCAACCAATTTAGCGTTGGCGCCAGATTACCAGATTTACGAATTTCAATTAGAGCATTTCTTAGTAATTAGCACTGATATTGGACAAACTAATACGCGTTTGACTATAAGGTAATGTACTTATTAGACTACAGAAGGTGCCAGTTACTGTAGCATTCGTCAACTTGTTGTATAATCAATGGGCCTATTATGCCTTAAGTATAGGGAGGAAATGCAGAAAGTTGCGCAGGCAGAATCTAAATGGCTCGACCTAGGCTCGTGATAGTCGTGTATAGCATCAGCTGGTAGGAAAAGCCATCACTGTGCCGATCCGAAATTGGAGGTCACAGGTCAACAAGTCACTGGTGGCACAGGGCAGAATTTTACGACATTTTCTGAGTACATGGTCCTGACGGAGCGATGTGAAAAACTTTTTTGTTTTAGCGGTGACCTACGCCATTTTTATGGCTTTATTGAAAGTACAATAAAATGTACTTTCCGCTGACATGCAAGAGATAAGTGTCGGATAACCTTTTGACCTCAAGATTGAGGAGGGTTAAACGATGGATTTGTTGACTGTTAACAAAGGATTGAACTGCTTTTCCTATTGTGGATGTGAGGCTACAGTTGACAGTTCAATTGCAAAGGCAACAGTTTGTTGAACAAGGTTTACACTCCTTAAATCATATTATTTTCTAAAGCCAGTCTGTATTAGCACCCTTAAGTAGCACCCTGTATTAGCACACTGTAATGAACCGTGCTGAATGCTGCGGCGTGGTGAGTGAGGCAAAAACATGGGGGCAGCCATTACGCATGCATGGGGTGAACTGGCACTATCAGCTTTCAGATTTGAAAGTACAGGAGGACTAACTAATGACTGCTCCCCTAAGGACACCATAGGGGGTCTTTTACAGCTCCGATAATCACACCCTTAAGAGGCTGACGGAGAGCTCCACTAAAAAAACACACCTTAAGAGCAGGATGGAGAGCTCACTAAAAATCACACCTTTAAAAGGGATGATGGAGAGCTCCTTGAGGGCTCTCCATGCATCCTCGTGGGTGTGAATGATGGAACCATGACCAATCCTCAGTCTAGAGTGAAATCCAAAACGAAAATTGGGATGTCATGTCAATCTACTGATTATCATTAATCTGCACCTTCATTCATTCAATGGCTTCGTCAGGATTAACATTCTTTTCATCCAACAACCCAACAACTAGCACGACAGTTAATAAAAGAGTTGATCGGATGTAAAAATAAACTTGTTTTATTTATTCTGATTTCCATCCTTAGAGATTCTAATCCATGTACGCTGCATATTTCAGCACAAATATCATCACAATCCATCAACAAACTAGCCAAATTACTTGTACGTAGTAGCCACGTATGTAGCCCTCCAGCCCTACGACTGTTTCACGTCTCTCCACATATAGTTGAAAACGAGCAGGTAACTTGTGGCTACCAGTATAGGTACCTGTATTTGGATGCTGTGTTTAGTTGTATTTATATATATATAAACTAGAGGTAGTAACCAGACCTTACCTCTGCCATACGTTCAGTCACTTAAACACCACAAATTTTTGTGTGGTTGCTCTAACCTTTTTGTACCCCCCTACATTGAGAACCGCTATGGAGGCGGCTATTTCAACATAATAGACATACTTTTGGTGCGCGATTTCAACCACTTTTATGAGGCGCGATGATGCGCGCACCATGGCAACAATTTCGGGTGCGGCGGTGGAGCGCGAGCACGATCGCGCCCTTAAAAATGAAAGCCTGCACTATTCTAATCATAATTATTGCCTGTCACACCTGCAATCCGATGTGTTAACTCACAGCTGAGCAAAATTCCTCAGCCTGCCTGAATATACTTGGATTTCAGCAACTCAATGGAGTGAGGTTATCACGCACGAAAGGGTGATGCCATCTTTGATTATTGATGACACTTGCACGCCCAATCTCGCGGGCAACTGCTTTTGCTATTAGAGCCCGCGTCCACCCGCCCCCTCCCCCACTCTCCCCCCACCACCACCACTACGCTCGGCCGCTCGACGCATATCCATGATAACATGGTTAATATAGCGAAGTCATTAAGTTACACAGGCTGTATATCTTTTACTGTACTACCGGTATAGCAAAGCTAGCACAAGTTCCCATCTCGCTTAACACTACGTGGCGAGAGGGCCGCCGTGGCGAGCGACGCCGCCGTGTAACTAGTCGGAGAGCCCTGGTCGGTTTAAGCAAAGCCTAGCTATCATAGATTTTAGATCTGTATTATTAGTAGTCCCAATAGATATATGCTCTGACGCGGAACGCGGTGGCGGAAGGGCGCAATTGATGTCGGTTGCCAGTGAGTTTATCAGAAGAATACCCGGCTACAGTACACGTCCAGTCAGTGAGCGCTGTTGCTCTGCGCATTCTGTGTTGATATGAATTGAGGAAGTGTAATCATTCCATTTTTATAGCTGCACAACAAGTGGTTTATTGACTGTTAGAACAGAGAAAGGTAAAAGACGCATGGCTGTCAAAAAGTGTACTGTTGTCAAAAGCTAGAACAACTAACATCTAAGTCGTTCAGAAGTTATTAACCTTTTTCATATAAAAATTCATATTTCGTATTATGCTGCCAAATTCATTTTGGTTTCTCTAATTTCATATTGCACTTCTTAATATTGTTTTTCAACATCCTAACTAAAAATTAAATGGTCTTAGTTTAAACAGTGTGTCATCTGACAATAGTAATAGTTTAGCAAACAAATGTGTACCATATGTTCTAATGCCAGTGATTGGCTGAGTATGCTGATGGCGCCAGCGTCCATCGCGAAAACACCCGACACAGAAGCCTCTGTTACACCTATGATTTAGTATCTGTTGATTCAAATTGTCAACAAGTGCTGATAATGCAGAAATGTTCGATTCTTATTAGTAATTCTTTATTAGTAACTAGGAGTGAAATTGGACAAATTAATACGAATTGGAGGTACGGTTAGATATTAATAAATTACATGAGGTGTCAGTATTCTAGCACATTCATTACAGTGGATTATAGTATAGCTGTATTTTCCCTTTAATAATAACCATATTTGTACCACACAGGAATTCCCCTTCAGCAACTGCCGTCACTTCCGTGGATGTCGACCACCATTTTCTCCAGAGGTGATTTGAGCGCTTGTTGGCTGGGCTGATGAAGCCTGTTCCTCTTATGAAAAACTACCTCATTGTGGATAAGCCCATGTGCTCTGTTAAAGCACACGCAGTCCTGGACATGGGTAAGAAACTAAATTGTATTACTGTACATCACCTATACAAGGAAACGAGAATTCACTTGCATGGATATTGCAAGTAATGTGGTTTTAATTTTTACTTTTAGGTACAGAATACCATATCATTCAGTGGTTTAGGTGTAGTGTGCTTATGCCAAAATCTATGAAGCCGAAATCCAGAATGAGGACACAAGCAAAGTGATTCTTAAGGTAATCTTCATAAAATGTATAAAATATGGGTCTATTGTTTATGTGGTATATAACGTGTGGAACGTTGCTATTATATAGTGGAACGTTTCCAACCATGATCTAGTCATACAGATTTTATCAAGAGCTAATAATACCTAGAGTCAAGAGTGTACAACGGAAAACGGGAAAAAGTGCTATTTCACGACTACATTATTCTACTTTGGCCTGCGAGTCTAGAATAATTTCATGTATTGCATTAAGACAGAATTCTTTGCTCTCTAAAACAAGGACCAACCGCTTGTCAATACGATACTCCTAGCGGGAGATATCGGCTCCTAAACTCTCCCTCCCACATGCGACGCCGCCTCGAATCCACTTCTGCCAAGCATCCTAACAACGGCGCTAAGCGTTGCTTCGTGGAAGTGTCGGTTTTCCGCGATAAATTTATGAATGGACGGTGCTTCGTTATCATAGGTGACATCGGGGCATCGCCTATGCCCTTATCTTCCATTATCTTTCCTAGCACGGCTAACGCCGTCATGATGGAGCAGGCCGGCTCCATCAAGTTTTTAACAACGCAGCTCAGTTACTAAGTGTAGTAACAGTACCCAATTTGGGCCATATGACATCAATTATCAGCGCTCCAAGTGGTGACGGAAACCGATAGCCAAAATGCTTACCCGCGTGTAGGATGTGGCAGAAGTGGATTCGAGGCAGCGTTTGGCATGTGGGGGGGAGTTTAGGAGCCATATACTCCGCCTTAGGAGTATCGTATTGACAAGCGGTTGGTCTTGTTTTAGAGAGGCAAAGAATTCTGCTTAATGCATATACCATGAACTTGATATCTAAGACACGTCG